TATTATGAGAGAAAGGTATCATCGTCACAACAAAATTCAAGTGAACGTGTCAAGAAAACTCACCGCTTCAATTGTGGTAGCAATCTCTTTTCTCTTTATTTTATGTTTATATGCGCTTTGATATCAGTTGCGTAACTCGGACATGTCGCCATGGTGAGCCTGAGGAATATAGAAGTTGTTTGATTTTGTTTTCGCAACTCGGTAGATTGTATGCATCATAATTTCCAGAGTAGGACCGTGGACATGATACATTCCCAGACGTTTCGCCGGCATCGTACTCGGCATCGTCAATGAGTCTCACCATTCGTAGCACCACACAACAACTCATCAAAGAGATGTAAGAGAGAGTAATATGACGAAACGTGGGGGAATGTACCACGTCCACGGTCTTACTCTGGAAATGATGATGCATACAATGGACTCCGGATCAGCTGCGTTCCTCTAAGTCTTCCTACCAACATGACCAAGTTGCGAAAACACGGTCAAACAACTTCTTAAAACAACGAAAGGAGACTGCGACCACACAAAAGACCACACCATCTTGGTCTTCATACGTGAGGAATATGGTTTGTCCGGTGTACTCAACCATAGTAGATATGACACTTTCCAGCTCATCCCGAATGGATAAGAGTAGTATAATTATAATGGCTTCTTCGCGCAAACCAACGCCTCCAACTACGAAACTATCCTTCTTTTTTAATAGAATATATGAAGACCAAGATGTTGTGGCTCTGTTATGGTCGCAGTCTTCTTTCGACTTATAGTAGAGGGTTGAGCTCGCTGTCGCAACTTGGTCAATCCACTTCTATTCTTCTTCTATTTATGATGATGCCAATTCACTAATCCCATCCAAAGAACAGTTCCTTCAAAATGAAAAGTAAAATGACCTTGTAAGCTTCATATTGCATAAAAGGTTGTCCTCATAAGTCTTCATATCATATCCCATCTCGAAGAATCGCACAATTGAACCAGATATCGTCACTTTGTGGCATTTAGACTGATAAACTTGTATATATATAAGATGTATGCACCCAATTTTATTTAGAGTGATGAAGAATTGGTAGTAGAATTTTTCCACATTAATATGACTACAGCTGAGATTTTCATTGAATTTCACATAGCCTTGTTTTCCCAAAAGTTGTTCTCATCCCGGCTGGAGTGGACTGCAGTTTCGACCTTCTGGGTCACAGGGCAAATGTGAATTTTCAAGGAAGGCCAGGCCGTTTGCCATATCACATTCTTTGGTGTGA